TTTTGTTTGCGTTTATACTAGGAATCGTTATACCATAACAAATAGCTCTCAAATGCCATTTGGCACGTTTAATCCAAACAATCTGATTGAAAAGACATAGGCTGAAATTCAAAATGTCAAACAAAACTCTGAGAGTAAACTTGAATACAAACCTCTACAGTAGGGATTTCCAGAAGGTGACCATTGTCCAGTGCTGGAACACGTCTTGCTGACTGTGCCCAAGAGTATGTAGCCCTTACCACAGGTATACCGGCACTCATCTTGGTATGAAGATGTTTGAGATATGCAACTTTGGTTCGAAATATTCAGACCCTCTGTCAATGAGGCCAAGGCAGGGCAAGTCACCACTGTAAGAAAACGTACAGGAATGAATTTCAGGCAGATTTCATAAATGCAGAATACTGAGAGAACACGAGAGAAGCGTAGGAAACCAATATTGTAAAGTACTTTTCCTCATGAACGTTCAAATTCATAACGCGCGCGCGGAATGAGTGTGTGTATATAGACCAATTAGAGTGTGCGTTATATGAAAATAATTCATAAATCATAGTAAGAGTAGAAATTATAAAAATGGGGCATTTGCATAAGCTCCCACAAATCCTCGAAAAATATTCAATTATTTGTTTAAACTTCTTAATAAATTGGCGATGCTCAATTGATTTCTGGCCCTCGATCATTTTGACACAACTGCTCAATTAGTTAGTGTAACATGACCTATTGGTGCAAATACGACCTTGGCATGCTGTATCGGTTTGATACTTTCTTTCTTACTTACTTTGACAAACCAGTTCACCCCCACTCCACATGCCGTCAGACTTGCAGGTTCTTATTTTGGAACCAGATTTGGCTTGATAACCAGTTTTACAGCTGTACGTACAGTAGGTTTTGTATGAAGGGTTAGATGATATACATCCAACACCAGCCATTGTTGTGTGTTTGGGCTCAATTAGCTTAGGGCATGTGATCTCTTGATATAATAATAATAACATATTCATTAAATTAATTAAATCATTGCATTGGCAAGTAAACTAGATCAGAACATATCTCTTGATATGAAAATAATAACATACTAAATGAAATTTTAAAAAAACAGAATTTACAAGTGGACTATAACGCTAAATTACGAGGGTAACCAAACAATACAAGAGACAGACAGATAGAGAGATTGAGCAAGCAAGCAAGCAAGCAAGCAAGCAAGCAAGCAAGCAAGCAAGCAAGCAAGCAAGCAAGCAAGCAAGCAAGCAANAAGCAAGCAAGCAAGCAAGCAAGCAAGCAAGCAAGCAAGCAAGCAAGCAAGCAAGCAAGCAAGCAAGCAAGCAAGCAAGCAAACAAACAAACAAACAAACAAACAAAGGTGACTAAAAAAACAAGAACCCAAGCCAAACGAGCAAACAAACCAACGAATAAACCCCGCCCGGGGAATAAACTATAATAAAAGAACCACCGATTGACAGCAAAGACTGAAGAAAAATGAACAAGCATGAACGAAGCTTCCCCAAACGAATTAAACAAAACATCAGTAAAACGTAAACAAACAAACAAGCAAATAAACATACTAAAAATACAACAGCAAAAGTAAGCGAAAACCATAAAGGGACAACACTAACAACAAATGAAACTAGATAAAAGCATAGAGAACTGTTCTGTACATAATTCGAAAAAAACCTACTCTGGCATGTTACATCTGCCCCAGTCCATTTTACCGCGTTTGAACCATTTTCTCTGACACATTCTCTTGATGCACTGCCAGTCAGATTATATCCCTCGTTGCACTCAATGCTGCACTTTGAGCCATAGAGATTGGAGCATATGGGTGGTATGGTTCTACCATTCGTAGGAGGAGAAACTGCAGGGCAGCGCCGAACTGAATTAGAAAGAAAAAAATATCACTTAAGAACAATAACGTAATTGGAAAAAAAGAGCTATAAAGACCACCCCATACCCAGAATTGAGCATGACTTCAGCTCGGATTTCCAACTCTTAGTATAGAATAGGTTGCACTTAACAAACCTTAATTTCTCAGAGATAAATTCCTTCACTGCAAGGATATTGCACGTGTGTATGTGTAACATACCTTGGACTGTTATCCTAAAGCTGCAAGTTGCTGTGTTTCCACTAGAGTCTCTGGCCGTATAGGTCATGTAAAAACTTCCTTCTGGGAATTCATAAGAGGTAGCGCTGGGTGGAACGTAACTCGGATACACTTGCATTTGCGGTACATGACCGTCGTTATCTTTGGCGTTAACTGGTTCCCAACTAACGGTTGCTTTGGTTTGCATTTTGTCAGCATAGACTTGAATGCCTTCAGGACATGCTGAAAAAACTGGTTTCATGAGGTCTGTAAATTAAAAAGAACTAGTGTTAGCTATAGCTTTCGTTCATTCCTTCCTTCCATCGTTCCTTTGTCCTAGTACCCTTCCTTCCTTCCATCATCCCTTCCTCCCTTCCTTGTTACCTTCCTTCCTTCCTTCTTTCCTTCCTTCCTTCCTTCCTTCCTTCCTTCCTTCTTTCTTTACTTCCTTTCTTACTTCCTTTCTTCTCTCTTCATTTCTTTTCGTCAATTTTTTCTGTTATTACTATTTTTCGTTAACTCCTAAAATCAACCCAACAAAGAGCAAGTTGTGATTGAGCGACAACTGCATGTTATGTTTTCACAAAGAAACTCCTAATTGGATATCATAGTTTTATACCTCTACAATAGAAATTAGTTGGATTCGTCCATCTTCCAGCCGAGCAGCGTGTTTGGTATTCAGATCCTGAGTATTGTACCAAAGAGTAGCCATTTTTGCATGCCAAAGTACATACCGTGCCCTCTGTTGGGTTGGCTGTACATTCTGCTGGCGTAACCGACCCGTGGACTGGTACGGATATGCTACTGCATGTTACAACTGTTTCAATGTACCAAACATTGGTAAGCTTTTCTTTATTTTTCTTATATATATATTATCAAATATTTCACTAGTTAATAATTGCTTTCAACCTTAGTCATATACATGTAAATCTATAAAAAACGTTTTTGAATCTTATTATCTGCCCCAAATGGTGGTCAAACACTGACCACCATGTGCTGTCACCAGAAATAATCATAATGAACACTTGTTATTCAACTGATGAACATTCGCACACTAAATGACGTCGAGTGAAATCGAGCAATATTTAACCTCCTTACTTAAGCAATATGACAAGAATGGAGTACAATAAATAAACTGCAAACAAACCTCTGCATATTGGTGGATTACTTGGTATCCAGTTCCCATCAGACCTACATGTTGCTCTACTTGAGCCTTCTAAAGTGTAACCTGGTTTGCAATTTGACTGGCAAGTCGTCCCAACAGATACTACATAGCCATTATTACATGATGAGTCTGTTTTGGCGCCATTTTCTGGGGCCGGCCAGTCACTGGTCCTGCAAGTTATCTCTACGAAACGAAATGCAATAGAAGTAGTCCAAGACTTTTCCGTTAAATTTCTGGGGAAACTCAAAAATATTTCTTGTTCTTAGTAAGATGCCTTGACAAATATTCCTTGACGTGATAAAAAAGACGTGCAGAAAGAAAAATTTTTTTTATCTACTCGAGCAAATAAAAACAATTCAATACAATTCCATCTGAAAAGACGTCGAAGGGACGTCTTTTTACTGCAACTTTATTAGGTACTTGATTGCGCTTGGCTCAATAAAGTTTTTACCGCAATGCATATATTCAGTTTATTCTATTTACCCACCTACACAGTTGTGTCCGTCTTTTCTATATTCATTATCACAAGAGCATTCATAGCTGCCATAAATATTTCTGCATTGATGTTGGCAACCCCCCTTATTGCAGCTGCATTCATTGCAGTCGTGGTCTCGGTAGTTAGCCCCATCACATGCCCTACCACCATGAGCAGGTGACGGGTTGTCACAATTTCTGTGTTGCGTGACTATTCCACGGCAATTGCAGCCATTAAAGTCGACTTGCGGATACCATGCTCCCCAGTTTCCATGTCTAGGATCTATATTATCAACGATAAATAGCATAGATAGTATAGCAAATATGATTAGGAAAAAATTAAAGATACAGATAAACGTATCAAGAAATGCCCTATTGTTYGGTACTAAAGTTGAAGAACAATAGCAGGGATTAGCAAAGGATTAGCATATAATTAAGCCTGACAAGTCACTCGTAAATTCGCCAACTCGAGTAGCAACGAACACCATCGGAGAAGTTTCGTAAAACTTTCGTAAAGGGAGCAAAATCACAACTCTACCCCCCTTAGGCTAACTTTTGTATAGTTACCAAACTCTCACTACACTACCCCCACTACGTTAAAATCGCTAGAAGTATCCTTGCCGATGGGGGTAGGGATGAGGTGGATTTTTAACTTCGCTCGCACAAAACTATATCTAATCATCGCTTCGAATGAAACTTTAAACCATGTCATCGGTTCTTATTTTTCTTGATTCCGCTAAACACCTAAATGGCTGATTTGAATATGATATTGGTTGTAACGTGATGACGACGACAAGGATATTGGCTGTGGTTGGCGTAACGGCGTTTGAAATTTATTATGAAGCATAATCATATTTCTTTGTATCAATATAAGGACCCTTAATATTTTTTTCCTTTAGGTTCGAGATAGTAGCATAAATGAAAGTTTTTTCTGTCCGGTGAGAGCGAGAGGCCAATTTTGATGACTGCAATATTAATGATACTGGAATCATCAAGACTCTAATAACGAAGCCGCAAACAAGAACTGGTTTAAAGACGAAAGAAATGAAAGAATAAATTAATATATATACGGATAAAGATAAATAAAAAGAAGCTACAAAACCGTAAAGAAAAAGTAAGGCTAAAGTGAAAGTGAAAGCGAAAGTGAAAAAGAACGTGCAAACGAAAACGAAGACAAAAGAATTCCGCCGAAGGCAAAAAACGTTTTTAACTTAAAATGATATATAAAATCCTAGTAGTAGGTTCTACAATGTTAACAAAAATCTCATTTCTAGCAGTTGAAAGTACTGTTTTTTGAAAGTTTTAGTTTAGTGGAAAACTCTTGGCCACCATGCCAAGTAAAGTCAGTTATTTGCTTTGCATTATTTAAGACTTTGTTACCTTTTTCTAGTCTTTAATTTTTAACGACGAGACATCATTTTTTTTTACATCAAAACGAACTAAATTTGCATGAAAGATACAAAGAGTATATTGAAGTCTCAGTAACAAAAATAATTTCAGTCGGCAAAAGTTATTTACTGGTCTATGTTTCAGCACGCCGAGACTTCCCGAGCCTAAAATTACTTACAAAGCGGAGCGAAATTATTAGATATTATTACCTCATAATGTTGGGGGAAATATTAGTGAACTTATAATACATTAACCCAATGATGTGTTTACAACTTTACTTATATTAAAGCATGTGAGAACGCCAGAGCATGGACCATAGCATCAGTTCTTATAGCTTGACTTTAATACTTCAAAGTGTAAAGCAGTCTTAATTGTCCACTTTCTAACTTTAGAATAGCCGATTTTAAAGAAAAAGTACAGTGTTTACGCGGTCCTTGAAAGCGATCGTCGTAAAAGAAGTTACAAGTTGCTGTACTAAGTTGATGAGGCACAAGCAGATAATGGAAAAAGGATGTTCATCGAAAAATGTCATAGAGAAAACTTATAGCACAAATAGAAAACTGCACAATACACAGTGCAGTTCAGTTCTTACAAAAATATTTATTGGGTTCCTAAAAGCGATGATCATACACACACACACACACACACACAAAATATTTCAAGCTGCTGTGATAACTCCATGAGAAGCATACCAGAAGGTGATGCCCGTATATACTACGGTTCTGTGCACCATGGTCTGCGATTTCACTGCACAAATAATCTTTTAATCATTCAATCAGAGCAAGCTGCTTCGGTGGTATATTTAAAAAAAAACAACAGCGAAATGGGTAATCTAAGTCTTCTTCTTCAGAACAGAAATGTTTTTTTTTTTTTTTAACTTACCTGGACTACTACTACCTCCACCGCCACAACCATTACAGTAGAAAAAGAGAAGTGAAAACACAACTACGGATAGAAGACGTTTGCTCATGATTGTATCGAGTAATTAAAGGATATTATTTTGAAACCACTTATGCTCTTAAAACTAAGAGCGAAACTACAGTAAATGTTATCCACAGTTTGTTCTTGCACGGAAATAAATTACTGGAGAGTCTACGCATTGACCCATGAACTTTTTCAACCTCTTCATTTCAATTAGCAAATCAACTCTATTGTCATTTGTTAATTTTAGAAGCGCAATATCGGCTATTTTGAAAAGTCAAGTCAAGTCATATTTATTTAGTACTATATTCACAAATATATATATATAGATATAGAAGTAATTAAAACCTGATTTTGAGATACATGTCAGCTGTAATAGCTAATCGAGACAGCTGGCACATTCCAAGGTATAGTTTGCAAATTATATCAAGGAGAAACAAATATCATCGTTTTCTCGGAACTTAGGCCCCGTCCACACTATGCCGGATAAATTTGAATCCACACCGAAACCGAAAAAAAAAGTTCTTCATTCTTCATAGTCAACATCATAATAAGACATTCTTGGACATATCTTAAAAAAAGTCCACACATGTATAAATGCATGCAACGCTAATTATTTCAATTTTCACATGTATTTTCAGAAAAAGTATGCATCTGCAAGTAAGACTACTAAAAGATTACTTCCTAGTTATGCCTAGTTTTAATTATGCTTACTGAATCTATACATAATGGCTAGGCTTCCACTTCCTGTGTATACCTTTTGTGTAATGAATGCATGCATTTGGAAAATTATTTAATTTTGATGACCCTTCCTGCGTTTCATCAAAATAATCTATATATAGCATTTATTCATAGTGAAGGTACTTGAGAAATGACATTTGCAATGCGAAATGAGAGTGGACTTTGTATTATATACTTGGAATTTAATTTTTAAGCTGCCAGCGAGGCTGGCTGTTTACATGCATCATTTGGCTTAGTAAATAGACCCCCCATTCTGAGGTATTGTTTATTCGACATATGTTCAGTCAAAACTTAGATCTTAGCTTATATTATTTAGCACACCAAGTCGAGCTCCTGTTTTCTGTAAACTTCTAAACAAAAGGAACATAAGACTCATTTAAAATCTTTTGGGTATGGGAATGTTACTCTTTGAGAGATCTTAAAGTCGACAATAATCCCTTTACCCGTTATAGGTCATTAAGGGGTTTCCCCTCATTAAGTTATCAGTAGGTTATTTGCAGATACTCGTGAGGCAAATCAAATTGTCTCCTATATTCCTTGAAATGGAGCAAAAATTACTTATGAAGTTCTTCTGCTCGTTACTGAAACAAAAAACAAAAAGCCAAAAACTTTTTTAGGTAGAAACATCGAGCTTTTGCAGTTTGTTATATAAACATTTTTTCTAATTGAAATTCCTGACTTTCAATTATTTGTTCAGGCATATTCAGTTCTAGAGTTCAATGAACAATTACTGTATGGTCATTTGCGTCAAAACAACTGATCCTAAACAACCTTACCTTATATAGCTAAACCCTCTAGAAATGGAAATTGTGATCAAATTGTCTTTCTTGTTAAAAGAAATTCTTTCTTGTTAAAGAAATTCCTGGATTTTTTCGTAACATTGAGCAGAGTTATCACCGCCAAGATGCTCTATCATGGGATTCGCTTTACAGCAGTTATTTTCTGCATCTTATCAATAGGTATGTTAACGTTTAAATACTTTTACTTATGTGGTCTTGGCCAAGGGAATGGCCAATTATGTCCAGCTAGTACACACACGAAACGGTATCAATAACATCAGTACAGTTCTAGACTGTGCAGCCTAGGGTGAAGTAAACCTTTTGTCTCAGCAACCAAAAAAATATCTCCTGGCACAAGCGATTCACGATCCTGCGTTATAATTTTTCTTTCTTTTTTGCTATATGATGTGATGACAAAATGCAGCTATTTTTTGTACAAATCCAATACCAGTTCTTCAAATTTCTTTACAATTTCTTCAGTATTATGAATATTTCTATGATTGCTCAGCAAAGTAAGTACGCTCACAACTATTTTCGCTCACGGCTGCTTGTTGATTATTCACGCTTGACTTCCGTGTTATTCTTTATCGTGTGCTGTAAGCTGTGAGCGTACTTATTTTTATTTGACTGCCTTAAAACCCTTCAATGCATATGAAATTAAAGGAGAATATTCGTAGAAGATACATCTTTTAGTGACTTTATTTAGAAAAAAATCGTTCGACGATTTTTTGAATGCCGCTTTCATCGATATTTTCTATCGCTTTTGACAACAAATGGGGTCATTTAGCTTCATATCAAAAAATCCATAACGTTAGAAAGAAAGTCACAATTTGATTCATATTCAATAAGGATAGTGTCTATATCCGTACCTATATTCTAGTTATTAAAAATATTGAATCCACTAAATTAAAGTCCCGATTTTAAGGGTATAAAGTTGACACGCTGGAAATAATAGTAAAAGTCCATGAAAATATTCATCGCGTAATATTTGGAAAATGCTGTCATACATTTTTTTTCATATTGCAATATGTTGGGTGCCTTGATGAATACTATCGACTGATGCAAGTCGCTTTGAAAGTTTAGGTCTAGTTTTTGAGAAAATAAGCGGTAAACGATTTCTATGATGACATCATTACGTCATAATGAAAAGGTCGCTTTAAACTAATTTATCATTTTTGAAACCTTTAATCCTTTCCTGACATTGTGTGAAAAGCGCTTGCAGATCGAGTTATTCAAGACGAAGTTGTAGCCGTTTCAATGTGGCTAGGTGTGCCAGACCAAAATTACCCAGAGCCTTGCAACCAATCAATAGTACTTCATTTTTTTTACTCCCGCCTTGTCTTCATATGCAACCGATATTCTGCAAGATGTGTCCAAGCATGTTTTACTGCATAAGAATCTTCTTTGAAACTATTAGAATTTTTAAAAGAAATTATTAGTTTTTTTATTATTTCAGAACAAAAGTTTAAAAATGTGGAGAGGGAGCGATGCGTGAAGACATTAAGAACAGCTGCGGGAGAGACTAGCCTTGTCTAAGCACGTTTTACTGCATAGCTGACTCTTTTGAAATTAAAGAAAACTTCGAGCGAGACTTTGCGCTTTCTGATTGCTTAATGTCTTTACTTTTATGTTTTTCAACCTAAAACTGCCCCATAGAAAATAACTATATGATAATTAGTGTATTGCAGACTGAATTTTTAAATTAAATATTGTCTTGGGTAAGCACTGACTGGAGCTCAGTTTATGTCTTGGAAATGGAATCTTTGAAAAAGCCTTTGAAATGAATTTTTGTTAAAACGAATAATAACTTTGATTACATGATGGCCGAGTTCAAAGATTCACGGCTTTATTCTTGACTTTTTTTCTGTTTATCAACCAACATGGTGTTTGTAGTTTCAAGTTTGTCAGTTTGTAGTTTCACTTTCCAAGGAATAGTTCCAAAACTTTGCCCTAATAGGAACGTAACTCTAATACCTGTTTAGTGCATTGCAGAAATTCCTTCTCAAATTGCATACGCTAGCTTATACAAGTAAATGCTCAACATATTGGAAACGAAAAATTATGTAATGTAGCTGTAAAAATAGAGCGTTTAGGAGTTCCATCCTTAGTATTTAAATTGCCTATCACCCTTCTGACAATATTCTGAGTATTGATTCTCCATGGGGTAAGATGTGGAATAACCCGAAAATATTTCATAGTTTGAGTGCGACTTCTTGAGATCATAAAGGTTTTTCCCATGCCATATGCTAGTGCTGTGACGTGTGAGGAGTAATCATTTAATATACAAAGCATTACTGGCACATATAAATAACATTTGGGATGCGTAATTTTTTTTCCCATTGCTCTTATAGAAATTATTGAAAGTTAGTTTTCACATAGAAGCCGGTGTTTCGAATTACGAGGAACAACAAATAACCATTAATGCCTCCTCATACGTCACAACATTAGCATATGGCATGGAAAAAGCTTTATAACTTCAAGAAGCCGCACTCAAACTATGAAATATTTTTGTGTTATTCCACATCTTACCCCATGTAGAATCAACATTGAGAATATTGTCAGAAGGGTGATAGGCACTTTAATACTATATTTCTTATTATTAAACACATAGCTAAAGCGTGTCAACAGCCTTGCCTTTTCGTGTCAAACACGACAAACATCTTATCCGTTCGAGCCGATTTAACTTCCTCAACACCAGTCCTCCATAACCTCAACCGTGCAGTAGCTGTAGATGTGCACGTGACCCGTAGACTCGTATTTTGGAGTGACGTCACGGATAAAAGAATTAAAAGAGCCAGCGTTGATGGGAGTGATGTCAAAATAATTGTGAACTACTTCATTGGTGTCTGCGATGGATTGGCAGTGGAATGGACGACGGATCTCATCTACTGGAGTGATACAACCTTGAATAACATAGAGGTTGCTCGTATTGATGGAACCAACAGAAGAACATTGATTTCTGACAATTTAGATGAACCCCGGGGAGTTGCAGTTGATCCACTGTCCAGGTACTAGATTAGCTGTAATATGGGTTATATGATGCTTCAGTCGCACCACTCCGTTCTTGGTGCCACGATAACAAAGATGTTCCTTTATTAATATTTTAGGAAATATTGGCAGTCCAAAGGAGATAGGGGGTGTGTCTTCTAAGATCCAAAGGAACTACAGTTTCGGATATACCTCAAGTAATGCAAATAGCACTAATCTGAAAGAAAAGGGCAATCGATGGCTTCATTAATTTACTTTAATCTTGGAACAACCTCTACCACCTGCTATATTTAGCGTTCTTTAACCTTTTCTGAAAGTGTATTATATTAATCCGTAGCCACAAAAGCGAAGTTGTTCCATTGATATTTTCGTATTTTTTACTCGCGTTGGTAGTTCAAAATGTCCACGTTCAAAATATGTTTTGCTTTTTAATTTTAGAAAAGAGGTTTGATGCGCAAGTTAATGTGCGTTATTTTCATTTTACAATCAACAGGCTCATTTTCTGGACAGACTGGGGAAAGGAGCCGAAAATTGAGCGTGCCTATCTTAATGGCGAAAACCGCAGAACAATCGTCAGTTCTTCACTGGGATGGCCCAATGATATCACACTGGACCATAGATATTACAAGATATACTGGGTTGATGCTCTGAATGACAAGATTGAATCTTCAGACTATTCTGGAAACCATCGCACAACGCTTTTTCATAATCCAGTTGTCCATCCATTTGGAGTTGATTTATTGAGCACGTCCCTGTTCTGGACTGATTGGAACACTGTTCGGGGAGTGCACAAGCTTGATGTGTCAACAGGAGCTGTACAGTCCAATATCATCCTATCTGGAACAACGATGGGCATAGCGGTTTTTGACAGCTCTAGGCAGCCCTCGTGTAAGTTTTACATATGTTTTTTATATAGAAAAAAATATTATATCTTTCACAAAAAAGTACTTGACCTTGAATCAGTATAACAAGTATTCTGGCGAGCAGAGTCTCCTTTGAACGAGTCTCCTTTGAACTCCTCTACGGGCGAGAGAAGGAAGGGAGACTCTGCGCTCGCAGGGTATATAACAAGAAGACTTTCAAACATTTGTCTGAATATTTTAGCGGTGTTTTTGTTTTGCTTATTTCGTACATGTCTATTTCGGGGAGCACATTTTCAACGCCATCCTCACTAATTTCGAGGTCGTGGAAATCAATGAGCATTGGTCTCAATTGGCTTTCCTTGAGGCCTATTATATCAAGAATCTTTTAAAAACCTTCTATCAATGACGGTTCCGAAAGCATTTACAGAATAATAAATATTACAAGTATTTATTATTTCGATAGCATAGTTGGTACTGATAACCCAAATCTTGTATAACATTCATTGAATGATTATGACTTTGAAATAAGGTCAAAATATTGCAGATGGCTTGTCATCTCTTCGTCGTCGTACAAGAATCTAAAACTCTATTGGTTTTCCTCACGCGACGATTTACCCTCAGGCTTCTAGGGCTAACTCTCTGACTTTTATACTGCGATTCGACTAACAAAATTTCTACACCCAACTAAAATTGATCAGTGTTTATTCAGTGATTCTAAATTTAAATTTAGCTAAAGACGTTTTTTTATGGTAGCATTGCTTCTTTCCAGCAATTCATTCCTGTCAGCAAAATAACGGTGGCTGTAGTCATCTGTGTTTGTTAACACCCATTGGTTATGACTGCGCATGTCCAACAGGGTACGGTCTTGGATCAGACGGGAGAACATGTAACACGTGTAAGTAGATATATACCTATTTGTAAAAGGGTATTCCAATTGAATGGTGACCTTTTGATATGTAGATTCTTAAGGTCTAAATGAAGGAAAAGTGAAAATTAAAAGAGATTGAAAGTATAGTCAAAGTATCGGTTGTTGTCGTTGTCGTTGTCGTTGTCGTTGTCGTTGTCGTTGTCGTTGTCGTTGTCGTTGT